TTCTCAAAAGAGGTCAGCAATGATTTTGGTTTAGCATTGATTTATTAGTCTCCTCAATCTTTAGCAGAGCTCAGTAACACTGAGATTAATAACTGATCACATTGGTTTATCAGTCTATTCAGGTTTTAATAAGTGATCACATTAGTTTATCAGTCTACTCAGGCTATAATAACTGATCACTTTGGTTTATCAGTCTATTCAGGTTTTAATAACTGATCACATTGGTTTATCGGTCTACTCAGGCTTTAATAACTGATAACATTGGTTTATCAGTCTACTCAGTCTTTAATAACTGATAACATTGGTTTATCAGTCTACTCAGGCTTTAATAACTGATAACATTGGTTTATCAGTCTACTCAGGCTTTAATAACTGATCACATTGGTTTATCGGTCTACTCAGGCTTTAATAACTGATAACATTGGTTTATCAGTCTACTCAGGCTTTAATAACTGATCACATTGGTTTATCGGTCTACTCAGGCTTTAACAACTGATCACATTGGTTTATCGGTCTACTCAGGCTTTAATGACTGATCACATTGGTTTATCAGTCTACTCATGCTTTAGCAGGAATTTTTAGTTTGTAAAGAAGCCGTCAATTGAGATATTCTTTAGAATATGTATAATCAGCAGGTTTGCTACATGTTGTGCACTGATTCTAAAATAGTACATAAACTAGCAAAGATTGTAGGTTTGTTTTTTATTTCATGAGTAAGTATTCTAAAAGTATTCTCATAAAATATAAAAGGTTAGTGTATTCTGAATACTGCCTTTACAAAATGTAACTCAGACTGAATACAGATAGATTCTGTATTCTGAATACTGTATTCCCAATACTTGTATTCTGTACATCCCAACCCTGTATGTATGTGCATATGTATGTGGAGGTTTTTAAAAGTTCACACTGGTGCACCTCATTTACAAGCATGGTTCTTCAAAGAACCATCCATTGATAGGTTCTTTGGGGAGCCAAAAGTAGTTTGTCTTTTGCAGAAGTCTTCAAATCTTGAATCCAGTTTCCAGTCTTGGATTTGGTAACTACAGGTAGGTATGACACTAGATGACCAATCAGTTACAGCAATCGTTCAGTTAACTACGAGGGATAACAAAATTTAGGAGCAGAAACTGGATTAAAGATCCAAATTGGAAGACCTCTGTGCATGGCATTGCTCCAAAGAACCCTTTGATACCTTAATTTTGAAAAACGTATAAAGAATAGTTCCAAAAATTTCTCTCTGTTTGTGTATCTCACTTTTTTTTTCTAAACTCATCACATTCTTTCTCTGACTCTGCTGGAGTGTGAAAAGTTTGTGTCACTTCATGAGGAAAGCCACACACTTCCTGTTTCACCATTTTTACCTGCATACATGCTCATGCAGTTCAAGGTGCTAGCGTGCCTGGCAAGGTGAGAAACCACATTCTCTTAAACCATGATAAACAGATACGCATCTCTCTTTGCCATTACATCAGCTCTACATTCCTAATTATATAACCACAGAAATAACTTATACCCTTTATACTGCAGATGAATACAGCAATAGCACCATTTAAAATAGCAGTAGCACCATTACTCTGGCTTTATACCATCATATTTGAGGCTTATGTGGACCTGAGTAAATGCAGCTCCCTCGGTCTGCAGGGGGAAAATCCTCTCACTGCTTTAGAGCCTTCAATTTATCAGCCTTGTCAAGATAAGAAGAATCTAGGATGGGTTGTCACCTTTTGGAACCTCATGAATATAGTTACAGGATAAGCTTTATCTGGGGCCTGTCTCACAAAGTAAGATTATCTGCTCAGCCAGCAAATTTTAAGCTTATTTCAATGTTGGATTTTCTGACTATGGCTACTAATGCTGCTTGCATAACCTGCTCCAGTGCAGGTTTTGTTGATCACAAACAGCTGTTGGACCAATGAGGATGTTTTTGATCAATAAGGCACTACCTTCTGATGGAGGTGGATGCTTCCAGTCCATTTGTGGCATCAATCATGTGAAAAATATCTCTTTTTATAAGAGAAATATGCTACAGATATTACAAATACAAAGTAATTATTACTCCAATAAGCCCTAACACAGTGTCAACAGCATTAGTTTTAACTGTTATAAATACTTCATTTTCTATATGTACATGTAGTATGTTTTCTTTTTCCTTCTTTGAAAATTAAGCTGCTTGACACCTTGTCAAATTTCATACGACTGGCTGCTCATCATAAATGTCATGTTTTCATGTGCATGATGGGATTGATCATAGCTTGATTATCTGTACCTGAGTTAACAGAGAAGCTGTTAACTGCTGTCATAAAACAAGTCAGCTGCAGTTGCTGAAACTATGTCAGTGTGCTTTATGAGATAGGCCCCAGATATGTTATCAAACAAAAAGTACATAAACTCTATTGATGGGGATATTCCCACAGATAGCCTGGACTGAGAGGTCATTGGCCCAATCCCATTTCTTATTTTTACCCATACCACTTGTTTTTGAGCGTCACCTTGCCCTTTGGAACTGAGTTACAACGAGTAGTGGTTGAAATCTTCCCCCCATGAAATGGGACAACCCTCAAATAAAAAAGAACATTACTTCTTTAACAGGCTACTAGCGGTGCTCTGAAGGCAACCCAGCCAGTTTGCAGCTAGCTAGCTGGCTACCGAGACATTAGCATACTATTAGTGATTTTTATGCCGGTTATGAAGAAAAGGACCATAATAATTAATATGACATTAAACTAAGACAATACAATGGTTATCATACTTTTGAATGGGGAAAATACTCACATTTGTGAGTTTCTTTGGTCGCTTGCAAAGCCATTTTGCTGGTTTTTCTTTTTTTCTTGTAACACTCTGTTTGGAGTGTGCCTCTGATAAACATCCATTTGGAGGGCCACACTTCATCCTACCCTTCTATCTCAACAAAAATTGGGACACCCTTCCCCTAGGCATGAACGTGCAAAGAGGGCTAGGGGCCAAGTGGTAGGGGCAAGGGGTGAAATTAGATTGGGCCATTCACATTAGCATTACGCCACATGACAGACTCAATAACAAATAACAAAAATAACAAAAACACCGCATGAGTTGCGTGAGGTTAGACTGAAACAGGACTACCATCATTGAAGAAGCTCAGGTTTCAGTCAATTATAGATGACCGTTCACTCCAAAATGATTTTTTCTGATCCTATTTTAGCTTCCCTCCAGTAGACCACTGAGGATGTGTCATCATTGTGTAGTTGGCATTATAGCCAAATAAGGAATTTCTAGACCCTTTTTTTCCAATGGGAGAAAACTCTGGTATCACCCTGAAGTTAACAAAACATCTTCCAAATTCTTTTGTTCCAAACTCTTTTTTGTAGCTGGGTCCTCTGAATCGCAAGATCATTAAAGTGTCGCAATACAAAAGTGCGTGTGAACTAAACTGATATCACAAGACTGACAACCACAGTAAAATAACCCTCACAAACCAGCAAGATTTATCAGTTATGGTAGTTAAGCTACTGTGGCAGTAGCAGCCTACAGTTTGAGTAACGTGCACTGTTATACAAGATTGTTGAAGTTTTGTAAAAGACTTACATGCAACACCAGTTCAATGTGCAGGAGTGTTAGCTTGCTTGTAGCATGCACAGTGGCACCAAAAAGTATCTGGACATTTTTTACTTAAAATTATTACTTCAGTATGTTAAAAAGCAAAATGTCAAACCAAGCGCAATTTATGTCAACATTTACAGATATGAACTTGGACACAGGTTCTAAACACATTTTATGATTATTACATCTCCTGATAATCTACTGAATGTATTTACTGCTGCTACATCATTGATATGTTGTTGATATGTTACTGAGAGTCTGTTGAGTGTTTATTTAATCTAAAAAGGGCCACTCAAAATAGTGTCACTGTGTTTTGACTACTTAATGACCTTGCAATTTAGAGGGTCCAGTAGCATTCAATGGGAGCAATGAAAACTGGACACAATATGTATCATGTTCAGAACATTTTTGTTTACCACAGGGTCGAGCAACAGCAATTACTTAGTATCTGTATAGACAAAATGCTTAGACTCAGAGTTTCTCATTTGGACAAGCCACCAACTACAAAATGATGCATGACATCAGAGGTCAGTAGGGTTATAGAGCACTAATGATGGATCAGCTTCTCTTATGTAGTGCTCATTAGGACAAAAGGCAAAAATAAATCCTAGATCATCAATGAGGGCTATATAAACCGAAGGTATTCTCTTGATTCTCTCATACGGTTCATGGGGTGCAAATCTGTCCACTTCATGTGAAACAATTTTGTAAAAAGAAAGAAACTCTGTGTCTGGTGACCACCAGTTGACCTAGTTTTTCCAGATTTTCAGCCCTGATGTGTTCCAGGTGTGTCCAATGGCCATTCATGCAACGCGTCCACTGGGGTTTCTGAGGTAATACAATTGACAGACTTTTGCATTTGCACAGAAACCTTACAATACTCAGTGGAAACCAAAAGTGTTTGTTCTGGCTACTGTGGAAACGGTTTTTGGAATAAAGTCCAAAGTCCTGAAATGTTGGTGCCATGTGGATATCAACCTGGTTTTACAGGAAGACTCTTCAAAGGCAATTTCATAGATTTCTGCTGTGAGCTACACAAAGGCAGAGTGTATTCACCTCCACATGTGTTCAGTATGGCAATCTCAGACTGGACCCTCTGTGCCTTTGCTGTTTACATAAATACCACTGGGATACATATAATTCTAGTAAAATAGAGGTTTCAAGTTCACAAAAATATAGTTGGGTAGTAGAACTCTCTTAATTTGGTGTTGGTGTTTGGATCTCAATTTAAAGTAAAGGTGAAAATTTTGTAAAATTTACTTTTATCAACTTGTTTACATGCCTTGCTGGGAGGGATTTACACCCATTATTTAAAGATATCCATGTATCCCTTCTATCTTCATAGCCCTGTCTTGGTGAGGTATCTGATGAAGGTGATATAGGTAAACATGTCTTTGCTGACTGACTACATTTTGGATAATTTGTAGAATTTTTTTTAGATTTTTTTTCCACCAACTTGTTTAACACTACTCATTCCTCTAAGCAGTGGCCTATCATTCTGAACTAGATTTGATGAGGTATCCGTTGAAGGTGATGTAGACATCAACATCATCACTGTATATGGCGTTTTCACGCTCACGTTTGTAAAGCCGCACCCACACCTCATCTCCCAGTCTGAGGGGAAGCAGGATGCTCTGGCTCTGCATGATGGAGCGGTCACTAGGCTGAGCATAAATAATAGCCTGGGCTTCCTCGTTCTGCATGATGTGCAGGTAGGTCTCCTTGAAGTTCCATGTGTGGATGTTCACGTTGAAGAAGTAGACGCCGGGCACGCGGCAGCGGAACTTTCCGGTGAACATGTCGAAGTGTTCCGGAATGTTGGTGAAGACGGTGTCAAAAAGAAGGGCCTGGTAATAGTCGGCACTGTGGAGGGCCTTACGACGCCCCACCGAAAACGCTGAGTGCTCTGACTTGCAGGGGTCACCTGGAGCTCCAGCTTGGCCCTTTGAGCCTTTGGGGCCCTCATGGCCCCGGGGTCCTGGAGGACCTTCTAAACCGGGTTTACCTGGAGTCCCCTTATCACCCTTGTCACCTTTATCACCTGTGGAGAAGAACAGAGATGCTAATGGTTACATAAAAGGTATGACAATTATGTTTAAATTACATCAAGAATCAATATAAATACATTGCTTATGTTTTTAGATACTCTTCCCTTTTAGCTCTAACTTGCTTATGTACAGTTAGTGTCCTTAAATCCAATTCGCTGCTGCTATGCTGCCAAAATTGGATAATTATTCATATTTTTATTTATTTATTTTTTGCATGGCAGGAAAAAAACACATTATTTTGGATCTGACTTTTTATGAAGGCTGTGTGTATCCGAGGACCTCATATGAAAATAGTTAGGTGTGATATTTTGTCTATTTTTCAAGTGAAAACAAGTAAACACAACCTATGCAGCTACTTTTTTAAATATACAAAAAATTTTGCAAGTTCTGATGCACAGTCGCTTTATATTTGATTAACCTTAAAAATAGGGGAAAAAACACAAAAGTAATTGTACCATGTGCAAAGGTTTGGACACCCTTTCAACTGTAAAGTCTCAGAACTGAACTCTTTAGGCCTTGATTGACTCATTAGGCAGGTCAAGAACTGTCATGAGGTATGGTCAAATGATGACAATTCCAGAGTGTAATAAATTCTCTGACTATTCAAATGCTGGCTGAAGATCTGACCATAGAGCCACTCTAGGCTGGACATTTTTGGTTGGTGGACCACTCTCAACATAGCACTTCACTTCCTTACTGAAGTATACATGTGCACACACATACAGAAAACAATACTGATTACACTCTAAGCCACATCACCATGTCTTTTGCCAGGTTTTAGCATGGACACACAAACACATGCAACTGTAACGTCTTCAATGGATCAGGACCTAAAACATAAATAACTTAAATGGGACACTTTAAGTTGCAGAAAGCAGCTGAAAACACACATCATCCCTTCAGGACTCACCAGCAAAGTCCGCCAGCTCTGTATCCCAGAGCCCCCATAAATGTGCTGGAGAGATTTGAGGGGAGACAATTTGATGCTTTAAATGCTAACCAGCTCCAGTGCGAGTTTGAGGTGATTTACAGGAATAGTTTGGCAAAATATTAAAGTTACACAATTTCCCTTCTTTCCCCAAATGTCATCGCTCAGCCAAGACAGGTTTGGTGCCTGAAGTTTTCCTCAGACCAAGAGGTTAATGTAACTAACAGGCTAATGTAGGTAACACATAATGGAAGCTAATACCACTAAACTAAGCAGGAAACTGAGGTAACCGCATGGCTAAATCATCATAAACTCATCTGAAACATTGTTAAATGATTGCAAATAGACTTGCTTATGTGGTTTCTGAGCCTGAATGACATATTGTAATGTATTATAATGGACAAAATATGTTGCATAGCTAAAAACATCTTGAAACCTACATTTTGTGCATTAAATAGTGTGAGAAGTCATAAAAACAAGTCTATTTGAGATTTCTTACAGTGACTTGAAGCAAATGTGTTTATTTAGACATGGAGTATCCTGACAGTGTATCCAGACTTTAGTATGCAGCCATTATTGACACAGTAATTTACATTTACGGCATTTGGCAGATGCTCCTGTCCAGAGCGACTTACAATTTGACCATTTTACACAGGTAGGCGAAGGTAGTGTTAGGAATTTTGCCCAAGGACTCTTATTGGTATAGTGTAGAGTGCCTGCCCAGGTCTACAGCATAGAAGGCAGAGGTGTTACCCACTACCCTATACTAACCACTGTAATTGAAACATAGAACAGCATTTCTAATAGAATAGAATTTTCTGGAGCAGTTGCACATCAGTCTTTCATCAGCATGCCTAATGCCAAGCATTAGATAGAGGTATAAAGCCCCCGCATTTTGTCGTGGAGCGGTAGAACTGCATTATTGGCAGTGAAAGAGCTCCATCCAGTATCTTTGGGATGAGCTGGAGCGGCATGATCTTGATGCTCTTGTGGCTGAATGCAATCAAGTCCTTACAACAATGTTTCAACATCTACTGTTAAGTTTTCCTAAAAGAGTAGAAGCTTTACTGAAGTCAGTTAGGGTGAATCTCCCTTTTAATATTGTTTATTTCCAAAGAAACATTGGTTGGTGAGCAATGACATTACTGGCTCCAGTGCAAAACTAAAGAAGCAAACAATCACTTTAATTAGATTTAACAATTATTGAGATAGATTTCTAGTCACTTCTAAAGCTGGATTTATAGGGTGCTATATGAAACTACATCGCACCTTATTCTTTTTGGGATTTTTAGCCAGATTCATTTTTTGATTACTTAATACTCCCTACTTTTACACAAAGCTCAGATTCATCTGGGATCCAATGGATTAAAATTATTTTAAAAAAAAAGGAAGACCTAGTTGCAGTCCATGATGAACTTGTTGAGCTTTTAGGACAGGATAACTCAGACATTAAATAGGCTATAACTGTAATGGCTACTTAAACTTTAATTTTCAAAGGCTAAACATACACAATGATTAAAAACTAAAAATGTAGTATCCTAGATAGATAGATAAAAAAAACATATAAAGATACACTGTATGGACAAAAGTATTGGGGCCACTACACATTACACCTTCAGGAGCTTTAATGACATCCCATTCTAAATCCATTGGGATTAATATGGAGTTGGTCTCATCTTTGCAGTTATAAAAGCTTCCACTCTTTTGGGAAGCTTTCTACAAGATTTTATAGTGTGTCTATGGAAATTTTTGTCCATTCATCCAGAAGAGCATTTGTGAGGTCAGACACTGATGTTGTACGAGAGGGCCTGGCTTGCAATCTCTGTTCTAGTTCATCCCAAAGTTCATCTAGTTCATCCACCAAACTTTACAGGTGGCACAGTGCACTCAGACAGGTAATGTTCTTCTGGCTTTCACAAACCTAGACTCATTGATCAGACTGCCAGATAGAGATGAATGTGATTCATTGCTCCACAATGACGAGTCCAGTGGCAGTGTACTTTACACCACTCCATCCAATGCTTGACACTGTGCTTGGTAATGTAAACCTTGCATGCAGCTGCTTAGCCATGGAAATCCATGCCATGAAGCTCCCAGTGCACAGTTTTTGTGCTGATGTTAATGCCAGAGGAGGCTTGGAACTTGGAACGCAGTCAGCAGACTGTTGGTAACTTTTATGCACTATGCTCCTCAGCGCACAGCGACCTGCTCTGAAACTTTACCTGGCCTGACACTTCATGGCTGAGTTGCTTTGGTTCCTAAACACTTCCACTTTTCAATAATACCACTCACAGATGATTGTGGAATATCTAGGAGGGAAGAAATTTTGTGAACTGACTTCTTGCAATGGTAGCTTCCTATTACAGTACCACACTCAAATTCAGTGAGCTTTTTAGAATCATCCATTCCTTAACAAATGTTAAGCCACCGGCTTGGTGGTTGATTTTATACACCTGTGGCAATAGGACTGAATGAAACACCTGAATCCAATGGTTAAGAAGTGTGTCCCAATACTTTGCCTCATATACTGTATACTATATATATATATATATATATATATATATTATAAAAAAATACGAGCTGCTGATTTGGTTACCTAGTGGGGTAATTAAAAGTTTGCTTGCAACTTTGAATGTTTATGTAAACATGTAAACATGCTTCAAGAAACAATTAAGTTGCACAAAACGTATTCTGCAGGCAACTCAAAACTCAAAACTAATTGCATGAAAGTTTCACCAAACAGCATGAAGTTAAAAATTCCACTTCTGAGACATTCCTGTGTTACCAAGACCAGTAATTTAAGAACACCAGCTAAATAAAAAGGGACTAAGCTTTTTTATGGTCTTTGTCAGCCCTTCAGCTCACTGCATCTGTACATCATTTGCAATGAAGGTGCAATGTGCTGAGACACAGTAGAAACCCACAATACTTAAAGACTAAAGGACAGAAATAGAAGAAGTACCTTTAAGGATAGTCATGTTGATGTATGTGTGAACTTCAGGCACAGTCCGCATGGGGCCCTCTGCTGGTGGGAGGTCATCACAACAGCGGCTGCAGGGTGGCTGGGGCACAGACAGTGTCAGTGGCAGGAGGAAGAGTATGAGGGGCAAGAGGAACCCAAACATGACTGAACCTGCAGAGACAGTAGCACTGTTACAAATACAGATATTAGTGCTGTTAAAATGCACTAGTCTGAAGATAGCAATTCAACAGCATTGATTTTGGAATAGTGGAAATGACAATAATTTGGCTAGAATATGCAATTATTCATTTCATAGTTTCTGTAAGGGACATCACACTGGTAATTTGTCTACAATGCAGGTTTGATTTGATTTGAACAAACCATCCCACTCAATAGACAGAATATAGCAAGACTGTAGAATCAAAGTAAAGTCCCTGCTAGCACAAAAAAAGCTATTTGTAGCATAAAAAAATCACAAACAGCAGTCCAAAGATGCAAAGTTGGACTTAAAAATAATGGAATTCATTGCCTTGACTGACCAGCTGTTGAACAGGATGTTGGATTTTGTGGCACATTCTGTAATAATTTTAGTAAGTTCATTTTATGCAAACTCTGTTTTGTTCTATGGAAAGCATATTTTACTAATATTAAAGTGTATTTCCTTTATTACCATCACTAACTACCCCCTTTCTGGGCCTACAAAGTAATGCACATGGCTAGACCATGTGCTTTTGTATTTTTCCCTGCTCAAGCCTGGCTCCACCCACACCTCTGCTACACACACCTGCAACTAATCCTGGGACTCTCCCTGGCTCCACCCATTTTGCGGACCTGCAGGTCATCCTTTTACCAACATGTACACTTGTATTGCTGGAGATTTACAAACATCCTTTGGAAAAATACCCATGTGTCCTTTTTAACAATCATTTTAAGCTAGAGGGCCTACGGTAGATACGGTAGCATACACAATGGCCTGCAGTCAGGGTATGTTTTTGTCACATACCATTTAGGTTAATGATCTGCTTTGTGTGAAGTTTAGTTTGTAAAGGTCAGGGTAAGAAGGAGATTTGACTTCAGCATGTCTGTCTGCAAACTAAAGCCATAAAGTCACTCAGTAAAAACATCAGTGTTTTCTCTCTAAAGCTGGTATCAAGTTCCATCAGAGCTCTATTAGAGGATATATGTGTTAGTGATGAGCGAGTGAGAGACAGAGAGACAGAGAGAAAGAGGAATGCAAGGGAGATGAGCATGAGATATCAGCTTTTCATGGAGCGTATGCTGTTTTCATTGCCGCAGTGCAAATCATCCACATCACTGAGCCAGGACTTTCATCACTGACAGACCAGTCTCTCTCTCTTTCTCTCTCTCTCGCTCTCTCTCTCTGACTGCTGGATCTAAAATACTGCTTCGATGCTGAGGAATGAACACAATAGAATCTCCGGCAGGTCTGCTAAGACTACAAAAACCAACAGTTTCCAAAACAAACACGAATAAATCCCAACTTGGAGTTTTATTTGTGCTGAAGCTGGACTGGCCATAGTTTACACTGTATAACTGCTGAATATCACTATGAGCTTCTCGATAAGATTCAATGGACATCACTTTGACTACATGTGCAGTTTCTTTTAGGTTTTCATTGAAAATATCAGTTGTTTGATTTAGCATTACGAGACTAAGAAATAACAGAACAATAAACAAAACCAACAAAACAATAACAAATGATAATAACAATACATAGCAATGTAAAAATAATATAAAATACAATAAACAAGTATAAACACTAAATAAAAAAAAACATTTTTTTGTTGATTACTTTTACTTTTGTTTACGTTGATTACTTATGTTTTAGATACATTACATTATTTTTTATTTCTTCCATATTTTAATGACATGCAATGGATAGAAAGCATGTATTTATCTATTAATTCATGCTTGAACTTGAGTTTAGTCATTGCGGAAGCTGTTAAACACAATATTTAATATATGATTTAGAACCTGTTGGTAAAATTGCTAAAAGTTAATAAAATAGCATGCACTTCATGAAGGTTTTCTGCTTGATTTTTATGCAAAATCTTTGCAAAATTGTTTTTGCACTCTTCTGTGGTGTGTACAATTTAGGTTGTCTGACATTCTTGCACCCCATTGTTTATTTTCTGTTCATACTGTTTCATGATGTTTTAATATGCTAAATAAGTGCACTCATTATGCCCTAACCTTTAAGTAGCTAAGATCACCTGCTGTTATTTGTCCCGTTTTTTGCTGTTAAAGTGTTCCAAAACCTTCTGCTGCATATCTAGCCAGGTTTGCATAAACTGTCACTGAGGTAAGTAAATCAAGCATTTGTCCATACAGCAAGCATGGTCAATGTAAAAAGGGGCTTTTGTGAAATCTGACAGCAATCTTGCTGTGATGTTTACCAAATGCACTCAAACCAGCACACATTTGTACCTGGCTAGCTGGTGAAAATTTCCAAATCTGACTGGATGACATTGAACACTTGGCTGTACAATGTTGCACAGAGATAAAATGTATGTTAGTTCTCTGTTTAAACTGTTCTAAAACAAAGGGGCTGATTTACTGCTTCTCTAGGCAAAAGATAAGGAATTAGGCCTCCTGTATGCACAAATTTACAATTGGTTGAACAATTTTTTTGCACTTGAGTGATCTTAAATCTCATCTACATATGTGATATTTCTCATTTTGAGAAACTTGTAAGATTATTATAAGATTATTTAACCGTTTAGAACTGGTAGAAGAAATGCAGCGGGTCCAGTTCAAAAGTTCATGTCAATGGTTGTGGCTCATTTACCTTCATCGCAAATCTACAGAATAAATTTATAGATAACATGCCATCCTTTTCCAATGCCTGTGGCATGATGCTAATTCAATTGTCTTGTATACAGAACAATTTCCATCAACCGTGACATGTCATGTGATGTATAGCCCACGTTCTGCATTTGAACTGACTTTGCATAGCTAGCCAGCCAATCGGAGCACATCATTTGGAGATGTGAATGCTACAGTGAAAGAATGTCCATGTGCAGTGCTGGAAAACTGATTTTCCATGAAACTCTTTTATTACTTAATAATTATACCTTAATTACCTTGTGCATGTTAGTCTGTCTTCACACAGTTGTTTCATCACTCAACAACATAGAATAGTCCATTAGCACCATGATCAGGGGCTGAACTGCATTGAAATTACTCAAATAACTGTGTTCAGTAATTGATATTTCTGAAAAAATATCTAACATCAACATATACAATATATTTAATTTGTATTTACTTGGGGACCTTGGGTAATTGGGACCCTAGGCAGCTGCTTTCTTTAGCCTATGGCAAAAACCACTCCTGCTAAAACATTAGATAAGGTGAAAGAAATAGGTCTCCCCCACCTCCAAAATCCTCCCCACCTTTATCCCTTGCTGACTACCACGCTGTAAAATCATATGGTTATACTTAAAACCCTTTAAAAAAGATGTGTTTAGTTAAACTATTCCCCTATTTGAGAACAGACTTCAACATCAAATAAACCCTAGAGTCTATAACCCAAATACCGTGTGATTATTTTTGAAAACAAGTGTTCTCTTCTTTAGCACTGATGTTTATTTGATATTGCAATGTGTTCTCAAATAGAGGAGCAGCAGAACTAAACACTGTGATATGTTTGGGAAAGTACCACACAAAAGTGTTTAAATCTAAACATTTAGATTTACTGTGGAATTCTATTATGTTTCAGTGAAAACAGAAGAACACACAGAGTCACAAGAAGAAAAACATGCAGGAGATCCCTGGAAACCAGGCCAAATGTTTCTACCGTCCAGTCCACTTTAAAAGCTTTTTACACAGAAGGAAAGAGACTTGTAGCAGGATTTGTGTGGACACAGCCTGAAACTTTTTAACCCGCATTTCACTGCAGTGACAAATATGTTGTGTGGTCTAGGCTAAGACCTGTCTTATCTGTATAATCTGGCATTGCTTTCATTTAAACCTGGAAATAAACAACAGAAAGTTTTACAAATATGATATAAGTGTATTTATATGATGTGTCAATAAGGCCTTTTCTAATGTAAGTATTAACTGTTTGTTGACTTATGAGTTAAAAGTTAATTAATTTAAAACTTTCAGTTACAAGCATACTCAAAATCAGGAATATGAACAGATGAAAATGATCTGAATTCACAAATTATCTGATTCACAATGACCAAACATGTGGTAGTAAATACAGTAGCACTGTAATTATACAGTAACTTACAATACTCTTTTACTTAAATTACACCTTTTGCTAACAGGTTTATAAAATCAAGCACATAGCCATGCAGTCTTCATAGACAAACTCTATCAGTAGAATAGATCATTCTGAAGAGCTCAGGGACAGAACAAGTCACTGTGACACCATTGCCACAAATCAGTTGATGAAATTCTGGCTCTGCTAGATCTGTCCTGGTCAAGTGGATGCATCTAGCAACAATAGCTCAGCCATAAAACAGTAGACAGTGCAAACTCACAGAGCAGGGCTGCTGAATGCTGAAGCATGTTGCGCGAAAAAAATGCTTATCTTCTGTTGCATCACTCACTACAGAGTTCCAAACTGCCTCTGGAAACAACATCAGCACAACAACTTTTTCATGAGCCTAAATAAAAAGGGTTTTCAGGCCAAGCAGCTGCACACAAGCCTAAAATCAAAACGTGCAATGCCAAACATCTGCTGGAGTTGTGTAAAGCAAGCTGCCACTAGACTGTGAAGTAGTAGAAACATGTTCTCTGGTTCACTATCTGGAAGTCTAATGGATGAATCTGAGTTTGGCAGATGCCAGGTGAACGCAACCTCCTGGAATGCATAGTGCCAACAGTAAAGTTTGGTGGAGGAGGGATAATGGCCTGGGGCTGTTTTGGGGTTTGGGCTTGGCCTCTACCCTTACACTGAAGCATAATGTTAATGTTACAGCATGCAAAGACATATTGGACAATTATGAGCTTCTAACTTTGAGAGAACAATTTGGGGAAGACCCTTTCCTGTTCCCTGTAGACAAAGCAAGGTCTATAAAGATATGGTGGGGCACATTTGTTGTGCAGGAACTCAAGTGACCTGCACAGAGCCCTGACCTCAATCCTACTGAACACTTTTGGGATGAATTGGTATGTTAATTGTGAGCCAGACCTTCCTGTTCAACATCAGTGCCTGACCTCACAAATGGTCTCTTGACTGAATGGGCACAAATTCTCACAGACACACTCCAAAGACTTAGGAAAGCCTTCCCAGGCAATTGGATTATTGCCCAAAAACTCCACATTATTTCCCAAGGTTTTGGAATGGGATGTCCAACAAACTCATATAGGTGCGATAGTCAGGCATCCACATATATTTTGGCCATATAGTGTATAAATAGTTAATAAGTCAAATACTTGTGCTTATGAACTAATCAATTGTAAAATTGTTAATTATCATTAATAAATTGTTAGATAATGATTACATTGCTATGACTTCAGGCCTGTAATTAATATATGTAAATATTGCAAAGATTCTATTGTTATTCTGATAATATAATTTGTATGGAATTAGAAAATGAATGCAAAATAGATGCATTTTCACTAGTGGTCTCAGATGTTGGACCCTGCTGTATGTTAGTCTTTGACTGGTAGCTATTGAAAGATCATGAAGAGGGCTTAAATTATTTGAATGATTCAAGATTTAATGTAGTTGTGAAAGGGTTAAAGCGTTTTATCTCCTCTTGCTGATCCCTCTCCGTAATCCACCTCAGTGCACACTGTTTTATGTCTTGTTTTATGTCTTGAACGCTCATGAGAACCAGTTGTCTACACACGTATACATTAGTGTATGGGGTTATATAATGAATGGAAAAAAAGGATACATGCACAGAAATAAAAGGACCACCACTCTTCCTGCCACCATGTGACATAAAATCCCAACAGCAAGCTTAAACAATGTTTTCTTCTTTATACTCCTTTTATACTATGCAAAGGAATTCCCATTGAGTGTAGACTTGTTTTTATGATGTAAATGTGGCTACACTGAATGAAACCGCAGGCTCACTTGAGTTCCTGTCCCTCCACAGTAAAGATTTATTTCACTAGAAAGAGTGAGAGGCTGGCCCGGGTAAGCTGGGGCCAAGCTTGTGTTAGCCAGGGTTTCTCTGCTGTGTGTGTGTGTTTGACGGATTCCTGGATCAAACCTCTGTTCAACACATGCTGAACATTTAAAGCACGTCTGCGGTCATTCAGTCTGAGGGAGATTCCTGCTGTTCAGACAGCACTACTCAGTAGGGGTAAGCAAGAAAAAAATGGAGTTTACTTTTGGCTCTGCTAAATCACAGTACTTTAGTGACTTTTAGAAAAAAGGGACAATCTACCTATAGAGAAGACACAGTCCTCTATGTGTTTTTGAGCATTTGATTATATAGTAACATGATTAGTGGACTTACTGGACTGTAGGAATGGACTACAGGTCTTTAGTTCTCATATTGGAAAATATACAAAATCAAGAATGTGAAAAGGGTTAATAAGACTGGTGACTGGGTTAATAAGACTGGTGCCAATCCAACCTCTAAACACAAACCAGAAAATAAGCTCATAAACTAAACCGAAACCCCCAACAGGCACCCAAACATAAACACAAACAAATGAAATCAAAACCCAAAGTTAAAGCCAAGCCCAAACCAAAACTTTAATACAAAAGCAAACTCCAACTAGAATGCAAATCCAACCATCCACCCAAACTCAAACAGGAATGCAATCTCAAATCCAAACCCAAGTGCAAACCCAGACCTGAATGCAAACCCCAACACAAACTCAAATTTAAACCTGAATGCAAATCGAAACTTAAACACAAAACAGAACACAAATTTAGCCAAGCAGCAACCAAAACTCCAACTCAAAAGGAAATCCAAAAGTAAACTCAAACTAGAATGCAAACCCAAATCTGAGCCCAAATGCAATCCAAGCCTGAATGCAAACCCCAACCTAAATGCAAGCACAAAACACAAACTCAAACCCCAACCAGAATGCAAACACAAAGTCAAAGTCAAGCAGCAACCAAAACTCTTATTCAAAAGCAAATCAAAAAGTAACTCAAACTACAATGCAAATCCAACCATCCACTCAAAATCAAACTAGAATGCAAACCCAAATCCAAACCCAAGCACAAAGCCAAACATGAATGCAAACCAAAACTCAAACCCAAATGCAAATACAAGACTGAATGCAACCCATAAACAAATCCAAACTCAAACCCAAACTTTAACCCAAACTCAAATCAAAACCTGAATGCAAACACAAACCTGAACACAATAAAAAAAATATACAAAAAAATACAAACACAAATTTTAACCCTAACTCTAACTCAAACCCAAGCATGAACACAAACCAGACCCCAAACACCATCCTAAATGTAAAATAGATCTCAAATGCCTTCAGACACTGACACAATACTGTAATGTGAGAAGTTGCAAATCACAGCATAGCAACACTTTATTGGTGCTTTGGGGCTGTTCTACACAGCTGCACAATGATTAATCCAGCCACGTACGTATGTAGGAATGACCTAATATCTAAATTAGGTTGTATATCACTTGCTGTTGTGAACCTGTTAATAAACCAATGGATGCAAGTGATTGTGTGCGCATGTGTGTGTGTGTGTAGTTGAACTTACCGCGGCTCTTGTTGCTGAGTTTGCAGCTGCAGTTGTGTCCTCAGCTAATAGGGAGGGAGAGGAGAGAAAGGGAGAGAGAGGAAGGAAAAATGCCTTAGTCAGCCTCTTTTTCCCTCCCTCTTTCACTCTCTCACTCCTGCTCCCTCTCCAACTCCCTGCCTCCCTCCCTCCCTCCCTCCCTCTCTCTCTCTCAAATTCTTACACTGGGTGTACATGGTGAAACAGGTTGCAAATAAGTTCCATAGAACTTGACAGCTACATGAAGGTATTCAACGGTAATCAAAGGCACATGTAGGGCAGGGTGCCAAAAATCAGTATCCAAGGGGCCCCAACAGACATATCGCAATACTACTGAGGACTGAACAGTCTAAAAAAATCAGTGCCTATTATCATTACTTTGGATGGAAATGATCTCATAAAGGATTTTCAAAATTATTTTAAAAGAAGAAGAAGAAGAAAAGAACATAATCAAAGCCAATGTCTGAGTCCGACTGGCTCCTTGATGCATGGAGACATCTGAAGAGACAGCATGTACAACTATAACCAGGGCTGGAAATGGCCATGTTTTACAAGGGGAACCCTAACAAACACAATTACAAACCCAAATACAAATACTAACGGGGGGGCAATTTTACAGAAACATGATAATCTGATAAACCCTGAAATCTTATCTGTTTATTTACCATGACAACATCAGTTAGAACTGAATTTAGCACAGTAGCATTACAGAACAATTTTAAGTTCATAATTATAACCATTAACTCCAGATAAGAAAATCCAGCATTACAGAAACATCTTAACTCCCATGTGTCAAACACAAGGCCTGCAGACCTGATCAGGCCTATGTCACAATCCCATTCGGCCCCCAAAAGTATTTTAATTTTCTAATAATGTTAACCCGTTTCACAATGCGCTGCACTACAGTCCCCAGCATGCATTGCTTACATAATGTGTTTTCTGACTCTCTTACCCCAACAATAATCCATGGGACAGCAGTTAACCCTTAATTCTACATAATTGTATGCAGTTCCACACCTGTCGTATCACCATACACACTGGCTGCTTTTTCAGCTGGATTTCAACCAATATAAACACCTAACGTCAGCTCAGCAGCTCATAAATTGAGCCCAAGTATTAATGAACTTGCAGCAAAGAAAGGATGCGAGGTGTCTAGTTCAAGCAAATATGTAGATTTAAAAGACCTAGCTCCTCGGGACATTTAAATTTTGAATATTTCATGTATTCATGTAATATTTCAAGGTCTACTCTAATTGCCAATATTTACCGCTGAAGTTGTTGTGTATTTTGAATAAACAGTGACCAGTTTAGGTTGGTTGAGTTTGACACCCCTGTCTTAATGAGACAAAATTTCCTAAATATGGTCCTACCTTTAAGAAAACCCCAGGGGTGTCCTACCTTCTGTGTTAACCATCCGCTTCTATTGTTTTTAGACAATGGTGATAGACAGCACAGCTCACTATACTAGCATAATGACATCACTTTTATGTAATGCACATTTATTCATGTTGCAAAACAATGGTTTCAATTGTGAGGTTTTTTACTTTTCTACAACTCGTGTTTTAAAAATCCCAGACACTGCAGATACGATGTGCACCATGCCCTCTAATTACATTCATGTGTTAATGTTGATAAAAGCTCATTTAATAAAATATTACAGTGATGGTGGTGAATAATGAGGAGGCAGAGTTGGATGTTTATTTGGAGGAATAACATTAGCATTGCTGGCTAAAGTGTTGGGGAAATGGACACTGAAACCGCTCTGATAAACGGCGGGGACAGTCAGTACAGTAGTGGAGTTTCTTGGCAGCCTTAATGTTCCAAACACATGGTATACTAAGATTTGTTACCATGGACACTGAGTGGGTGGATCCTGCTGCAGCACTGTGACTTACCATTGGCTGAATGTGCTGTGGGCTAAACTTGTGCTGCGTGGATAGACATTTTGCTTCATACACACACTTTGCACTTTAGAGCTAAACAACTATATGCAGTTTCCCTTAAAAAATAGTTACGTATCAGATCTGAGCTGGAATGCTGTTCTGCCTTTAGTTTTAGTCCCAGCAAGGAGATCTGGCATGTTTCCCCTTGACTATAATGTTACAGAAGTCCAATCTGTGGCAGTATTTCATAAAAGTAAGTAAATGCTAGATGAAAACAGTTCCATGTGTGATAAATGCTTTACTCCAGTAGTTGTCAAGATAAGTAATACATCAAACACTTGAACAAAAACAGGATTCATCTATATTGATAAAACTACATGAAGAGCAGAAAAAATGTTTTGCTGCATACATGTGTTTACCTCATAGCAGTGTGAGGCCAACAGAAGCATGAAGCCATGCAGTCGTTGACATGGGGACCATGGTGCTGGGGAAAGTGGATGATTATCAGAGGAGATCTTTAGCAGTGTAAATGGTTTTCATGGCTCTGTACTCTTTCACTGTTGTTGTGTAATACTGGGTTCATCTGGAATTCAACAACAAGATGTTTGATGTCCATGGCTCCCAAAAAAATCAACAATCTGGTTTAGTGCACCGCTGTGGTTGACAGCAAAAGTTGGGAAAATTGAACTCTTGACAGCTGCTGCGGCTTGTGGAAGGCTGCTGCTTGTGGCGGCACAATTTTTCTGTGAAAGCTCAGTTGAAAACAATGGAATATCCAGTTTGTTGTGTAAGTGCGGCATTACTCTGTGACCACAAGAGAAACACACCAGAACCAAACACAGGCACAAACACAGGACACATCATCAGATAAAATAACAGGTTTCAAGAGAAAGTTAATTAATGTGTGGTGCAAATTTTTCAGTCAGCAAACATGGTTCAGCTAGCACCAAAACTAGCATTTATTAGCTATCTAGCCAGGCTACTGCAGACCTGCAGTGATATCTTCTATTACAACAGCAGCTGGCCAAGTTACCATGTCACAACACAAATATTCCACAGCAACATAAACCTACATAAAAGTTGTTATGTAGGTACAGAGACCTTACAGAGTGGTAATCCAGACATTGCTTACGCTGTCATATAATACAATACATATGTTTTAATTAACTATGTAAAGACATTTTAAAAATGATCAATGTAATTTGTTGTAACAGTGAATACATGACCAATAGTTACATTTATGTTGCGAGTATTGTTAATGTATAAGTACATAGTTATTACATACATTAACATTTAATTTGGGACCATATTTGTTCATATACTTTGGCATCTTTGTATCACATTTAAGTAAAGAGAAGAAAAACTGAATGACCTAGTTGTATATATTACAGTACAACAGGCTAACCATGCAGAGTCATCCATACAGCTGTAGTGCCAATGTTAGCTAGCTATCTAGCTAGCTACTTAAAGTAAAAGGTTAAACATGCAACATCTTTCCAAGAGGCCAACTCTGTTTTATTTTGCTGCCCGTGATTGATTGAAATCAGTATCATTTGACGTCATCCATGGTGCGTTATCTGCTTTTTTTTCGTCAATCTTGCATCAAAAGACAGGTGCATCTGTTACAGTTTCAAACAACAGTCTTAAAGAAGTGAGTTGCGAAAGACATTGCACAACTCAAGTTAAGTTCACTTTTTTGTAAGTTTGAAGCAAGTCTGCATGAATGTTTTGCCATGAAAAACGAGCCTTACACACATGTGGTGTGCTGCCATACCCCCACTCCTATTAGCCACCCATTTCCTGACAATCCCCGTCTCTCTTTCTCTCACACACGCACACACACACACATACCCACACACACACCAACACACAGTCATTCAAGGCTGCAGTGTGTGAAATGTGGGTCACAAGATTAAGAAAATTGCCCAGATTTTGTTCCATGGTGTCTAGAGACCAGTGTATTTTCATCCTGTGGAATTTCTGGCTGAGCGTAAAGCAGGCAAGCAACCATCATTTCGATGATGAACAGTAAGTGCAAAAACACATATGCTGTGCACAAACATACTGGTTGAATTTTAAAGGCCCATGTCAAGACAACCAAGTTGTCCTCTTAAATAAAAGACTTTGATGCAGTATGTAAACACTGTTAATGTCTCAAAACCATTCCATTCACTTTTCAAAGCTATACAGCCCATATATGGAAGTTAATGAATTAATTTTTTTTGTGATGTCATGAAAATCAACATATTTACCTAAATCACTTCATGCTGAAGTTATACGAAAATTTCAGCACTGCATTACTTTCTGAATGAGGCACAATACAGGGCAGCCAATCAGTATATAGACCATTTACATTTGTCTTATGTGAGTCTTAAAGGCACACTTATAAAAACAGCCTGTTTAATTCTAAGGGATAAAGAAAAAATGGTAAATAGTTCTGTTAAAATGAATTATTATTTTTTTGAAAATAAATTCCCATAAATGTTATAAGCTGACTTTAGGGGAAAAATAAAATACAAGAGAAAGGTAGGATATTTGCCTTTTTAAGCAATGTGAGGGCATAATGTTATACATACAGTGGCCATATTGTTGATGATGTGTAATATATCGCATGTGTATTATAAATCTAAGTACCTGCAATACTGTAAGATCTACTATGATGAAGTATGTATACAGCTGAATCCATGAAAGGCTCTTCGAAATATGTCTACAACCATTAGACAAGCATGGTGGAGAATCAGTTCAATCAGTGGGTAGTTGGAGATTTGATTTTGTGAATGATGATAGGTACAAACACGTTCTAAACCATCATGAAAGACTCTCTGAAAAATGTTTAATTGTGCAGAAATTCATCTTACAGCAAGAAAATGACCCCAAGGCCACTGCTGAGAAGATTAAGATTAGGTTTTCTTACAAAGACCCTGCTGATGACCTCAAAACAATGAACTGACCATTCCAGAGCCCAGAATATAATTGAGTGTGTTTGGGATCACTTGGATTGTGAGAAGCAGAAAATACAACCAACTTCTAAGACTGTATCCCAACATATTTGAAAATCTGAAAAGAATGGAAGCTGTGATAAAGGGAAAGGGTGGACACACACCCACACACCCACACACCCACACACTCACAGTCATACAAGGCTGCATTGTGTGAAATGTGGGTCACATGATTAAGAAAATTGCTCTGATTTTGTTCTATGG